ACACACACAATTCCCTGCCACTTCTTCCCCCGGACCCAGAGAGTCCCCTACCACCAATCCAGTGCCCTTCGCTCCTGACATGCAGCCCCTGCCAGCTCTCCCCAGGCGCCCCCCAGCTCTTCCGGTGCCCCTCACTCCCAACCCGCAGTCCCTGCCAGCAATCTCAAGGGCTCCCGCCGGGCACCCCCCAGCTCAACTGGTGCCCCTCACTCCCAACCCACAGCTCTCCCAGCCCTGGGCACCCCCCTTGGCAGATGCCCTCTGACCCTGGTGCCACTGTGGAGCTGTGCCGTAGCGTTGCAGTGTGGGCAGGAGTCCACCAGGGGGCAGGGCTGAGACTCACTAGGGACGGCTGCAGAGCCCCTGAATTCTCACTCACCCAGGAGCTGGGCCTCCCTTCATCAGGTTGTAAACCTGCCGCGGGTTGAGGAGATACTGGAACTTCCGGAGCACCCTGGTCACAGAACGGGGAGGGGGAGAAGGGGTCAGACGAGCTCTAGAACTGACACTGGGCGGCACCATGGACTCCCCCCAGCCCAGATCATCGGTGGGTACAGGCAGCTGGGGTGGAAGGCAGCTGTCCATGGGCGCGTCCCTTACAGTGGGATGCAGCAATGACATTGCTGTAACAAGCCTCTCGCCCAGGTGCCCCGGAACATGTTCCATGGACAGGCCCTAACCCACCCGATCCCCTTCACCTCTCATGCGATATGGGGAAACTGAGGCACAGACAAGGAGAAAGATTTGCTCTGGTTCACACAGAGAGTGGGAACAGAACCCAGGAGTCCTGGCTCCCAACTCCGCCCCCAGCTCTATCCATCAGACCCCTACTCCCCTCATACAGCCAGGAATCCTGGCTCCCAACTCCGCCTCCATCTCTATCCATCAGACCCCTACCCCCCTCATACAGCCAGGAATCCTGGCTCCCAACTCTGCCCCCATCTCTATCCATCAGACCCCTACCCTCCTCATACAGCCAGGAATCCTGGCTCTCCAGAGGCCCCTCTGCTAGACCCCTCCTCTCTTACCTCTCCCCCTGTTTCCCGCCACTCTTGCCTACCCCCCCCCTCCCTTCCCCCCCCCCGTTTTCCCCGCCACTCTTAGGGTTAACGAAGACCAGGAGGGGGTGGGTGTCGGGTACTGGGATGATCTACAGAGGGAGGGAAAGGGGAAACGAAAGGATGAGCCACGGGTGAGTCACAAGTACCAGCTGCAGTAAACCACAGACGAGTTCCAACCAAATGCCTGCCTGCCCGCCCGCCTGCAACAGTGAGGAGCTGCGGCTCCGGCCGGGGGGGGGGGGGGGG